GGAGGCTAATGAAACGAAAATTAAGGCAGCCCGTCAGCTGCTCATAAGTGCTGTGTCGTCGGTGGATTTCCAAGGGAAAAACAGGGAGGGGAGGAGGACGCTCATTGCATCCTCGGAACACAGCCGCGGTGCTCCATTATGCCACGGGGTTAATGAAGAAATTACCCCGAACGGCTGAAGCGGCCGCGCATTTAGACAATTCTTCCGCGACTGACGCCGTAAACGACTTTATTATGCATGCGGCGAAAAAAAGGGTCATGATTAAAACACACTGACGCGGAAACGCCGCGCTGTCGCGGGACAATGCCGCGCGCGGCGCGGCGAAATCGGTCGAGGGCGGAGAGAAGAAGAGCGAACTCGAGCGGCGGGGGTGGGCGCGCAGAATGCGGCGCCGGGGAATCGTTTCAGCACCATCTTCCTGATGTCCTTTCGTTTTAAGGTTTCCATAAAAAGCTATGAAGGCCCGAATTTATCAATTCACCGAGCTCCGTCAACCGTGACCCCATGTTTGGGGTGAGTTTATACGAAAGGAGATTCTTATGCAGTTTGGTTTAGGGTTTCGGTTTAGTGCACAGACATGCAGATAAATTGAATCTAATACAACATTTGGGATTAATGTGGGTGACGTTAATGTAATATGCTCAAGTTTCGATTTAAGGAGAATTTTTGTAGGAGAAATAAATTGCTGAAGATCCTTTACGATGAAATTTATAAATATTCTTTTTCTTATGAAATAGATCATTCTTCTGTGTATAACGAGCTTATATTATCAAAATTTGGATTTTCATAAAGAATCCCTGGAACGTTGAATTGATTTCGGAATAATTTTCGTGAATTCTACGTTTGAAAAATAATCTTCATTCCACAAATTCGAATCATTAAACATGGTGAATACTTTTAGTACCTTTAATCGTATCCGCTTAATGGTTAAAGTGTAAAACCAAAAGGGGAAGGAAGCACGAGAAAGAATTGGAACAGCGAAATCGATTTCCTTGTCCGATGAATATTTAACTCTCGAATTCGTTTGAATTCATATCCAGAAAAAATAGGGCCAATTAAAGTCTCATTGTAATTACCCAATTAATTCCGTCCACGTCATTCTCTCTCACGCTGAGCCCGGTGATGTTGGCCATGGTGTGATTCCGTACTTTCGACAAGGGCAGCTTCGTGGAGTCCTGCGGGTGAGACGAAAAAGGAATTATTTTAAAAAGTGTCGATCGCCGGCCGCAACCCGGTTGCCATCTGGCAACGGCGCCAAGGATGCTCGAACCGTTTCATTCATCATTAACTTATTTCTGATCATCGAATTAAACGCGATCCGCGAAAAACCAATCTGTCGTTGTAAGATCAAATAGATACGAGCAGCTTGCGCGAAAATATCGCAGCTGCGATTCTTTTCGGAGGATAGAGATATAAAGTACTCTTATTCTACTTTTTGTGTAACGGAGAACCTTCGTTGACGGACAAACTTCCAAAAAATCGACGCTGTGGTATTTTCTTGCAAACCGTTCGTGTGTATTTCATCTAAAATACACAAAAGCTTTTTTTTTAATTTTATTGAAAAATCTTTTATTCCATTTCTATTTCTTTTTACTTTTATTTCATTTGTATTCTTCAAGTTTTTTTTTCACTGTGTACGAAAAGCGGAGAAGAGTCATTGCTTATTCTGGGGCAAATCTTATCGTGTATAGAGGACTTAATTCTTTGTCCTGTATCATGTTTGACTAGTGATGAAAACTTTAAACTAAATTTGACAAATGTACGTCATTACACTCGCTTGAGTTACAATTACACGTTATTTTTCTATCATTAATTGTTAATTATTGGAGTAAACGTAGGCATTGATACTTATTCTATGTAAGTATTTGATTATTTTAATACTGTTCTCTTCCTAATAAATTATTAATGATAAAGTAGCTTTATACAGCGCAGTTGTGAAAGAAATTATAGAACCGGGGGTTAATACGCGTTCAAGATAGACCAATTATGTTCGCGGCGGAATGCGGAAAAGGCGGACGGGTAGCGCTTGAAACGACGTTTCCTGTTGTCTCGACGCAACAACCGCGGAAATAACTTCGAAACTCGCACAACCAGAAGGTAACGATAAGGAACACATTTGCAAATGGAAACGAGACGTATCATAGAACTTCGCTTGGTCCCATGGATGAATGTGCTTCTTTCCAGCTTTCTTCAACCTCAGTTCGAAGTATCGAGAAACTCTCTGCGACCCCTACCGTCTCTGTTTCCATCGGAATCTTGGGATTCTCTTGGAACCGTAGCCACGCGTCAACCCCTTGCACTGTAATATCGAGTTAAACTTTCGACAAAGATTTCCAGTCGAATGAAACGAACATGGATATTATAAATTCCTTTTCGGTTGAAACGAAACACCATTTTTCTGTTATCCCTAAGTTGTAACCTGCACATCGAATGTAGATATAGAATAAAACTGAAAATTCTGTTTCCAGAAATCTCTGGCCAGAGCTCAGAAATGAAAGATTGAAAGTATCAATTTGCTTGACATAATACTGAGTTTATAAAAACCCTCACATTTTCAACTAACTTAAATTGATGGAAATTGAAAGAAAAATTCCGTTTTACCACGCAAATTTAATCGGTGTATATAAAAATTGGATGAAGTTCAATCGTGTATTGGCTATTATATTCGTCAACGTTCTGCCATTGTTGATCGTTCAGTGTCCATATATTTACAATATCCACATTGACAAGAGAGGATGAGAAGACTTATCGGCCGAACGAATATTTTGTAATATCATATTGCTTTTCGCAATGAAGACCTATTCGTCGCGTGTAAAGGCTGATCGGCGAGCAGTAGAGGGTTTTTAAGGTTATCTAAGTCGCGGCATCGGGTCGCTGTGAACAGTGACATTGACGTGGGTCCGCCCCATGTCTCACCTTGACTCGCGAGCCGAGTGGCAGCGTTCAACGAGGCGCCTTCCACGAATTTCTCGACAGCCGAGACAAATATAGGTGCATCGTGGAATTTCTCACGAATTCTTCGGGTTGCGCCACCTTCCACGCCCACCTCACCGTGTACACAGGCGAATTTCGTTATTTGCGAACCGGCAGAGGGGCGTTCAAACAACTCCATCCGGACTACCGCCGCCGATCAAAGAGCTTTCTCAGCCGAGAGGTACAGTGTGACAGTTTTCGAAAGGAGTGAGCGAGCGTAGAGATTTCGGAAACTGCGTGAACCAACGAGAAGGTAAGCAAATGATATCCGTCGTTTTTTTTCTAAAGTAAATGTTTACACCGTAGAGCACCGACGTTAGGTACAGGTGAGAACGAGAGCAAAGGGGGGAGAGGGAGAGGGAGAGAGAGAAGAAATGTTGCGTTCGATATTATAGAAAAGGAACAATAAAATTACTGATGAGAAACTTTGGCTGGGTATACAAATGTAAATGGTTTCAGGATCAATTGACAGGAGGAGGAAATGATTGATGACGTTAAAACGCGAATGAAATATTTATGGCACTGCAACAAATTAATTAATATTAATTGGCGGTTATTACTGATATGAGCAAGCCGAAATATGCTTTAATTAGTAGCAGTTTGTTTATCACTCAATTGCACAATAATGATTAAATTAGTGTGTTATATCATATTAACAGTTAACGAGTCACAAAAAGTATCAGTTTAATTTTTCTTCTGAGTTTTCTTCGATTGACAGATGGTCAAGATCAAATATACTTTTTTCAATAGTTCTCCGAATAGTGCTTCTGTTAAAGATTCACTATGGAAATGATAACAATTTTTCATGTTTGATAAATATTTCTATTTGTATATACCACTCTAATATCAACAAAAATAATATCATTTAAAAAATAAAAATATCCAGTAGCTTTTTGTAACAAAAGCGGAAGCAAATTTTCAAACGCAAGCCGAAAGTGGGATTTATCGATGCGATCGTTAAAGTGTTAATTGCCTCGTCCGTCAACCCGCCAATAAGCAATTTCGGAAGCTAATTTGGAAGGAGCGTGTTCTGCTGATGGCTTTTCAATAAACGAATCGTTACCGTCATTTTAACTAGCATTGTCCCTGCGCGATAAAGGAGACGCTTCGACGTCGCGCAGGTATGCCTATTGTTTCGCTTCTCTCTTTTCCTTTTTCCCCTTTTTTTTCGTGGGAAAAAAGAAGAAAAAGCTATACAGCCCGCGCGAAGACCCTCAACGCACCGCGAGCGTCGTTATTTATGGAGGCATTGTTACGTGTTCGTTGGTAATGCGTCATAAAAAGTGGATTCCGGAGGGGGGGGTGGCGATGGCCGGGGGTTGTGTTCGGAGTCCGAACATCGGACCGCACAACGTTAGCCAGCGTATCGTTGAAAACAATTACTTGCCGCAATTTATGGGACCGTTTAGTAAAAAGCCTGGCAATTCTAACGGCTAATGCAGTTGCCATGGTGTGGTGAACCCGACCGCTGCTCGACTTATTAATGAGAATATGCTTCGAATACCGTAACGAATGTAATTATTTAATCGATCAAGCTTGATTTCGTTTTCTCAATTTCTGATAAATACTTTTCCTTTGATGTCGATCGGGATAAATGTGGGTTACAATTCATTTAACGCGTATCATTTTAACAAGTAATATCGGTAAAAGGATCTCGATATTTCAACATGTTTTTGTACTGAATAGATGAAATTGTTATTTTTATGTAAATCATCAGTAAAGTATGGATTCGCTGTAGAATGCGAACGTGATCGGGGGTTTGGTTGATATATTGATATTATATGCAGTTTGATTTGGTTCGAGAAATATTTACGATTTATACGGTTACTGAATAGGAGTCGCCAATTTATCGAACAATTTCTATCGTTCTCGAGTTACCGAAGAATCACGTGTATAAATTTTGGAAGGAATTGAAAATTACAGAGTGACGTCGAATAAAAATCACAATCGTGATAAAATACCACGGGAAAATGAATGTACTCGGCGAAATCCGCGTTTGCCCGACGCGAACGTAAACTCGTAAAACGCTTTTCCGGCATCAATCTCGTAAATAACCCAGCGTTGCCTAAACTTTGTTGCTTTCAACGCGGGATCTACATTAAACGGAGGCGGGCAAATTTCCCGAAATAAGCCCCCACGTTATGGAAAAGCGGGTCCGTGAAACCTGTGAAATCTACTTCGACTTGCGCCGCGGTAACAAACTGGAAGCGAACAAAATGGCGAACGTTACGTTGCCCGTTTTATTAATTCTTCGCAGACAAACGTGCCCCGGCATTTCGCATCCCATTTTATGAATTAATTTTCGTCGAATATTTTACTAATAATTGTAACGAAATTTATCGGATGTAATTTTTGGGGAAATATTGATATCCATCGTAATTATTCTTGACACGGGATAAATGATACTGAAGATTTTCGATTAAGCGGAGAACTAGTTGCAACGATGTTATCCATCATTCATAATTTATGTATATTAACCCGTTAAGCGAAGAAAACGAGTTAAGTCATCATTTATACTCATTTGGACTCGCCGAGGGCTTCTCATGGCCTTCAATTATTCAAGAATTCCTACATTTAATCACATCGTAATAAGAATTTTCGTGTACGTTATGTTATATTTGTGTTGATCGCATCCTGTGGAACCTTGCTTCATTCTTAAATTAGTTTGTTAGATTATATTCTTCTTCTCAAATAATGCAATGAAAGTAGTATTAAGTATTAGTATTGTAGTCATAGCATTAAGTATGATTAATTACTACGATCCGTGAGCTTCATCCAAGTTCTGCAGCATGCATCGTAAAGGGATAATTCAATTAACAGCATAATCTTCACTACTAAGTATACATTGAACTGAAGCCTGGCTAAGGGAAAATGAAACTATGAAGTATTCATCACGGTTGTATTACAAATTTCTATCAATTCTTAATATCTTACTGGAAACTTTCCTTTGAAATCGGAGAAGATCGTAACCATTTGTACACAGAAACAAACTAAAATTCTTAAAATTCTCTACGCAGAAATCTAAATTATGCATCGAAGCCTTAAACATTAGAACAGAAGAAAACCACATGACAGCTCGCTATTTGTATAATTTAATTATTCTATTCGCAGCTTTCGATTTTAGATGTCAAAGCTTGAAGTCGCCATTATGGTGGCTTTCGGCTACGAAAGGATTAAATTATTAAAAAAATTAGAACCTAAAAATTTGCGTGAACGATGCAGAATGCAATACCAGATATGTAATGAGGAAGTTACAGTAATCCGCCAGCAGTTTGACCTCTTTCGCTTGATAGAGCACGTCTACGATGTTCTTCGGTTCAACTTCGACGAGCACGTTGCTGATGCCTAGAGCTCGAAGCTCCTTCAGAACAGGTCGAAAATCCGTTCCTTCGCCGATCCGTCTTATCGTGACCACAGCGTCCTTGTTCCTTTTCAACGTCAGAGCCTGTCTGATTCGCGAGAGGCCCTCGTTCGTTTGGTAAATGGCTGCGAACGTGCCCCATTTCATGGACCCCACTACGTCGGCGAGCATCTGAAATAACATTCCGAATTTTATCATGATCTTGTGTCACGTTAAATTTTCATCATAAAAAGTAAATAATCGATTTTAATCATTTGTGATTTACATACAATAATTTGCAATCTGCAGAAATTTTCACGAATGTTTAATGAATTTAATCGCACTAGAGTGTTACTATTGCATATAGGAAATTCTGTGCTCGAAGTTTTAATTTAAATGTTACGTTGAAGGAGTGCAGTTGACGGTATATTAATTGTCGCTGAGAATTTCTGTAATGTCAAGTGTCAGAGAACTATCTCGACATATTAATAATCGGAAACTGTTCTAGAGTCTATGATTCAATATATACATCGGTAAAGTAGTTTGGTAATATGTTCCATTTCCTCTGCAGGAGTGGTATTTGAAACGACCCTGGAATTGTATTTAAATTCACGAAATTTCATTTTCGGCGTTGCCTGTGTACTTATTCGCTTGTTTCACTCGCGTCAAATTAAAAAACTTCAGTGATATGTTCGTGTGTCGTTCGGAAGTAAACGGGAAATAGTTTTTCCTATGCTCTACATTTTTAACCACTTTCATAGGTATATTTGGACAGATGTTCAATTATATGGTAACTATAATAAAACATTTGTGATAATTCGCCTTGGAAAGATTTCATTTTGATCGGCATTGCATCACTTATGATAAATAAAATGTTCTGATGAACGTATCCATCTGTATTAATTCATGCTGTACACTATCAACTGTAATTGTGTGTATCTAAGTGATACCGGTCGTGAGAGTTATTAAATTTGCTTTTCATTAATTTGAAAAGCAGGACAACATGAAATAAATGGTTAACAAACCATGCAGGTACGCGAGTGTTGTAATTCACTGATTCCGCTGTAACAAGTATAACGTTTGCTCGCTGCATTTACGATTAATTCTAATAAATAGAGATTTCGCAGAATTATACAGATTATTCATCAAATATGCAGTCTAAGCGATAAATTTACAAGGCCGTGCGGAATCTATTTTTAACAAGTTATTCCCAGGGAAAAGTTGCGCGTCTCTTGGTTCACCGCGGATGAAAACATACTGCGAGAAAGGATTCGAGAAACCAGGACGTATAGAAATCGGAAAGATGAGTCGAAGGATATTGAGATATTTTTATATCGCACGATACAAGAATTTTCTCGCGAAGCTGTGCCGATACGTGGGCTAGAAATGCGTAAATAAAAATTCTGAGAAGAAAAACATATTCATAATAAAAACATAGTACAAAAGTATAGTTCTGCCATTCGATAACATAGTCATTGTTTGTATCATTGTTTTCGAAGCTTTTTTATCTCATAGTAACATAAAAAATAATAATTGCTTTAAAAATTTTAACAAAAGTTGGTTTGCAATTTGTTTACAGGTTCTATGTAGCCATTCGCCAACAAATCTATTGTATGCTGGATCATTTTTATCAATTTTGTACCAACAAAAATAACAATTGCTTTAGAAACGTTTAAAAAAGTTCGCGTTTCGTTCATAGGTTTGTTGTGTCTACACACTAGTCATTAATACCGAACCTTTCTCTAGAATAAAAAATCATTCCTTTTTGTTGCTCCCTGATCAATAAACCGACTATTTTCAAACATATCACGTTATCTAGGAAACTCGTGCATTCGAGGATTTAATTAGAAGAAATAATGTGCGAGTCGCAATCAATTTTCGAACGTTTAAGCGAAGCGTATATTTCTATCAGGAATGTTCGGAAATGAAGATTAGCGTTCCTCGTAAAACGTGAAAATGAAACTTCCCAATAATCCCCCTGACGTCCGGGGTACCTGGACGATTTTAATCAGATTTAATTATGATGCCGGGTTTAATTTATATCAACCGTAACGCGTTCGGCGGTTGGCCATTTTTTTTTTCTTCTCGTTCCGCGTCGAAAAGCGGAAAGCACGAAAAGCTGTTTCAAAGTCGTTAGCTCAAGTTCAGCCTTTGATCGTGCTCATTAGCTTCGGCTTACTGGTTTAATGCACGGGCTACTTCAAACTCGGTCGATTTGCCTCGTTTGACGCGTAATTTAAAATGCATCGGAACGCCGCCGCTACCCTGCCGCGCGTTTCCACGCGTTCGTCACATTTCGATGAGCTTTGAAATATTACGCGTCGATTGGCAGACGCAAGATCGCGAGACACGGTGAGATTAATCGTACGAGATACTTTCAATATTGATAGCGTTGCGCCTCAAGATAACGATATTTATCTATCGAACAACTCTTGTCTTGTTCTAATATATAGTTAACATTCAATACTTCGGCTAAGACAATTGAAAGTGTTAAAAACCAAACAAATAAGATAATCATTTCGTTATTTCCTAGATATCTAAATGACTTACTGAACCCTTTACCTTGAGATTTGTTTCGACTCAAACACCTTTACTTACACTATCTATTTCTCCCGTAATTTTGGATACAATAATCATAAAGAAAATTCAAGTATTAGTCCAGTTAAATTCATTAATGAGAATAAGAAAAATATTTTAGTTATAATACGATGAATCGATAAAACAATTAACAAAATCAAGTTTGGCACAGAGTTCACCCGTTATTTTCATATAAAACAAAAATATGTCCAATTCGAAGGTTACTTGCTTCCCAGTGTCAGAACCACTACCACAGTTTCTCCGACACTGTTCGGCAGAATTTTGCAGGGTTGAGAAGCAAGAGCGTCTTACAAGCTACTTACTGGAACCCACATCTGAAAGTTAATTTATCTGCGGCTATTACCGCAACTTCCGCTTACCTTTCCGACAATTTCGCTGTCGGGATACACGTTAATGGTCATCGGCGCCGGATTGTCCGTATCCTGGTCAGCCGGCAGTTCCTCGTTCTGTCGCCAGAAATAATCGATATGCGGGACGTCGAAACGTGCAGCGGTGCTCGCCACGATTCCTTGTGTATGAGGGCTGGATGGGCCGAAGATTGCGGCTACGCCTTCCTCGATGAGCTCGCACGCTGCAACGTTAAAGGCATCCTCCGCCATCGCCCGTTCGGCAAGTTACGTCGCATTAACCGTGTAAATGAAGCGCTCTCGAGATTGGTCGAGAAGGGGGCGGCCACGTAAGCGGTTGCGAGTAAACCGAGCAAGCCACGCGAAAATCAAGACCGCTTCCTCGGTTACGGAATTTGCAGGAAAAATCTTGTCTGGTAGGTTCTTGCGTGGTGTGTGTGCACTGTATTGTTTAACACGTTGGCCGCCACGCGACTCTCGAGCGTTTCGCACGATGGCCATTCTTTCGTCGTGAAGATCGATAGAAGTAGTTATTAATTGTTTAGTATTATAATTCCTGCGGTAAAATATTTTGTAGTTACTTAAACTATGAAGCACTTTTATCGAGGATTATTTTAGATGTTCTAATTGTCTTCGAGCTGCTCGAAAGTGTTCGTTATGAGCGATTTTGCTTCGACGTTTATGGCAGCCAACGTGTTGATCTCTTGTTTCGCAGGATTAAGTCGGGTTAGCGATGGAAACTTCGGGCAGTGCGTGTATTTAATCGGTATGGTGAACCTATTTGTGTAATGAATGTTTGATATTTTGCTTGCAAGTTATTATTAATAAGCAACTCAAGTTAATAAACGTTGTTGATAAATAAACTTTTGGAACGTTGGGAAAGATACGAAGTGGGAATGATATGAATTTATGTTCAATTTAAATGCAGTTCACTCAGGTATCTGAAGTAATTACCGAGGAAAACATTTACGAAGTTAGGGAAGCATTTCTCATACTAATATTACAAGGGGAAGTGGAGATCTGAAACTGCTCGATATGATATTCCCGGCATGAAGCATTATTTAGTGACCATAAATACTAAAATTTGTGTTGAACCACACTGCGCATACTCTCTCTGCTATACTCTCCATATAAAATCTAAATTTCTCGTTTTGCATTGGTAATGTATTAAGATGTCCCAGAAAAGATTACTCGCTTCCGAAGTTTCATTTGGTAAATCATAAATACGATAAGCTATAATTGAAACTCTGGAAATATATTTTACCATGATTTGTGGTAATATGTTATTTACAACCAGTTTTATTAGTCTATTTTAGAATAAGCGATGAAGTTATTTAGTTTAATTTAAACAATATTTTCTGAGACACACACGAGGTATTCAAAATAAGTTCTTTTCGATGAAACATTAATCATGTTAGTAATACGAACTGTGAAATCAGCTATGATACTCCTATTGCAAGATGGCGGATGCTTTGGCTGCGAGTGTCATCAGTGATTTCCGCCATACACGTCTGATTCGTCCTGTGACCATTTTTTGTCGCGATGCATATTTAGAAATCTTTGACCGTCCCCTTCTCCGCCATCTTGAAAAAGAAGTTTCAAAGCTATTTCTAGAATTAATGATAGTTAACGTAATTATCGTACTTCCTCTGGGGTAAATTATCTAAAACAATGAACCCTCGCGCATGCTTTAGGCCTTTAAAACAAACATGTAAAACAGTATCAACAGTTTTTCAATTTTACAATAATATTTCCAATATACCGAGATTCGTTGCAGGTTTTATATCATCAACAATATTCTTTACCGCGTTAAAAATCGCAATATTTACTGATTTCAATTTAAAGAAAACAGATTCCTCGAAGCGGAAGCCACTCTTTTCCCTTTTTAGCAATTTAATAAATCGAAAGAATTAAAGCCGGAGATAAATATTAAAATACGATTGTCACCTTCCATCGACTTATCGGAGCGAAAGGTTCACGGTGCGTCTTTCAATCGAAAAGGAAGAAACGATCTTATCATCGGGCTGAGAGAAGTGCAAGGGAGTCTTTTAAATATCAAACTCCATCGGCACGTCTAAAGCGAGAGCGACCTGTCTGCTTTACAAGCTTTATTATCACCTCCGTCTTCTTCGGAGAGGAATTAACGCGAAATTTATGAGGATATCAATGCCGGATCGAAATCGCAGCGTCCCGTCGTTGGAAGACCACAGTGCGACCGAAATGATTATTATAATTGAAAATACTAAACTTGATGATTATTATAATTATTACTGTCATTAAAATTAGTACTATTAATTAATAATTATATTATTATATTGTAATATAATTAATTATATACGTATGTATTTATAATTATAATTATTAGATGATTATTATTATACATGTATAATAGAAATGAAGTCGATGCGAATAATCACTTTCCGACTTCACGGTAATTGACACCGGGTCCTTTCGCTCTCGGCACAATTAATCAAGAGACGGCGTCGAACTTTCCCGGTCGGATGGCTGAGCTCGTTTCTATACCATTAATTGGTTCGTAAGTTCATTTTAACTTTGCTGCGGTTCTGAGTACTTATATCGAGACATTTAAAATATTATTAAACTACTAGGAACAGATAATCGGGAAACAATTTCCTTATACCGTCCCTAGCATCAATAGTATTCTTGATAATCTAAGAACAAGAGCGAATGAAAAACGATTAGAGAAACAAAACGGAGCGGGCAAAATGAAAATATTATTTCGTTAAGAAAGACACGAAAAATGCGGCGCGGTTAATTAACCATTCCATAGCTGATTTCTCTTCGAGCGTTGATAGATGTTAACTCGTTAAGCGCCGAGTCAGTTGTACTTGCCAAAGAAAAATGAAAATGTTAACATTATGAAGTAACAGGAAGCGTAATCTATATTTATAACTGAAATAATCCTTTCGTTAGAATGACAAATGTTAATGTAAATACTTCAATATTCGATAATTGAAATGATAACGTTACGAAAGAACAGAAAGCATAATTGAGAACCGCGACAGAAATAATTGTTTCATTACAACGACAAATTTCAATACAAACGCGATACCTGAAAATTAAACTGACAACATTATGAAAGAACGGAAAGCATAGTCGAAATTTGCGACTGAAACAATCAAGCAACGAACTGTCTTCATTAAAATTTGTAATATTTATTTGATTGATTCTTATATTATACATGTATCGTTAGTTACCGATGACCGATGTGGCGCTTAACGTTTTAAATTACATGTAATAATGTATCGAGCATTCGTACGTACCAGCGCGTGCTGTCTTGAAGCTGTCGGTATTAACCTTCACGTGCTTTATAACGGTCTTCAGTTCGAATGCGGGCGCAACGTGCTCGAATTTCGACTCGTGGACCGCCTTCAGAAACGCTGCCTCGTACTCCTCGTCGCCGTCGTGGAAGACTGCGCCTGACAACAACGGGAAACGTGATGTATTATTTGCGCGTCGTATCAAAACACCTCGAAGCTACGGGCCTGAGTTCTGTGGAAAAGTTTCCTGGGCCTTTGATGATTGCAGCCTATAATTTTCGGATTGATAATTTCATACAATGTGTATTCACCTTTGTGTTTGATCTGCGCTAGCCATGCTCGTGGGAGGAATTAATTTTTTCTTAAGATATTCGATGATTGACAGTTTAATTCTATATGTGAAGAGATAAGAATGGTGAAAATAGTATTTTTGTTTCTTGTAGTGGAAGAATAGAGTTTGAACAATTGTTGGGTACTGATTAGGTCTCTTGTCTGTTCGTTGTCGAATGTTTCTACAGTGATTGATGCTTGTGAATAATGACTGTGGTAAAGGAATGTAATTTGATAATTGATACTCGTATAATGAGTAAATTGTAGGGAGAAAGGCACAAAGTTACAAGTAGAATTAGGAAGCAATACACAGGCACACATACCACATTAATTGAATTCAATTTCCTTGACAAATAGAGTTTCCCATAAAATAATTGTTATATTTTTACAATTTGGGTTTGATTATACTATGTGTATTATTTAATGAGATTCATACACATATTGTCATTAGTCTTGATATTAAAAATGTTCAACGTTAAAAGTTACATGTCAATCAAATTTCATTCAATGGTTTCGTAATTTATTATTATATTTTATTATTATATACGGAGGGTGTTATTACTATTTATTACTATTTTGAAGTAGCCTGGACGTTGAGACTAAGACCAATCAGAGGTAAGGTAACTCAGGTTCGAATGATGAATGCAAATAGTAGAACAATCAAGCTGATTGTAACATCAAGGGAATGCAAGATCGATGCGTAAGCAATTAACGAGAACGTAACTTGAACACGCGTAACAAACATGTGCGTTTCATCACAGGGTAATCCCTTTGGGATTATGTTCGAATATTTATTATCGACGAGTGTAGTTCGCTACTGAAATACAGTACTATAAATTATATTTGCCGTTCATTAATAAAACTGTGAGATCTAAAATGCACAATAAACTGCAAATGATATCTATTAATTGACTTCAAATGTATGATCTCTTACACTTACAATAAATCTATTCAATGATAATAATTATTACCTTTCCTCCAAAATTTGAAAAATATTATAAATATTACTTATTCCATCTAAAATATTTAAAAAAATCATTTATTATCGTTCGTGTTATCAAGAGTAATTATCAAGAATCATTATCACCAAAACGAAGATATTTCACCCAGGATATCCCAAAAATATCTCAAAGATATTATATATTATATATTTTATTATTTCAAATTGAAAGTAATAAGTAACCGAATAAATAATGAAGGATAAATTAAAACACATTTTTGAATCGTTAAAGAATCAAATAATCCGGGACCAGGGAAATTGTTTCGCAGCCATCCAGTTCCGCTTTTTGTATCTAGTGGGAACTATCACGAAGGGGATATTATTTGCGCAACGTTTCCATTTCCGGCGACAACAGCCGTCCGTATGGTGGCACTTCGCCGTCCGATACGGTGGTTTGTGAACGCAGAAAGGAAGTGGACTAGCCGGAACGCGGCTACGGCCACCGCAGAACGAATAAAACGGTGAGAAACGATTTAACGTGAATTATCTCGAGTTTTTCGTGCACGTCCAGCTGCCTCGACGAGCCGCTAGACAGGATAAATTCAAACATCACCGTTATTGCCAATCCTACCAGACGTTTACTCGCGCGACGCCGGATTTTCCGCGGAAGAAAGCGATTTTGCTGCCGAGAAATTGGACAATTTTTCCGGGTGCTACTTCAAGAAGGAACCCGCCGCGATTTCGGCCAATCGTTCTCGACCCCGTGCTCGATAATGCTACGTGCCTACGGTTAAACTGACGGCTGACAAAAATTTTCAGACGCTTCTCCAGGAAACGCTAGGTTAATGTCGAATCTAAAGAAATTTCAATAAATAGTGGTCAGTAAATTTCAATGAATCGAAATACATTTAAGTAAATTTCAAGTCAATATAAAATTGCGTCTACTAGTATAACAAGCAAATTGCAAGCACACGAATGACAGAAACTTAGACGACACGTAATTTTGTTAATTATTAACTGTTCTAAAAATATGTCTAATAAAGACAGTTTTAAAGTGTGTTGAATTTAAAATCGAATAAAACGTTAAAAATATTTTAATGAGGTACGCAGAAGCGTAGTGCACTCGGATTTTAAAATAATTAATTTGTAACCCTTCATTTCCGTGCTCATATTTTCCTTATATTCTTTCAGTGATTACCATTGTATACGTAATATGTTTAAATTGTATAAAAAAGTGCATAACAATAATGAAAACATTACGAGCATAAAATAAAATCCTCCTTCTGTTACATCATAAATTAATTACAATATAATTAAATTGCTCCCTGTCCATTAATTAACGCACGCGTCCCAGGTAGATAAACATTATTTATCCAAAGCACAATGCCTCTGTTTCACACACTCCTTTCATATTTCCAAAGACACGCAATATCATTCAACGCATTCCGACACTCAAACGGAAAACGCGAAAAACCTTGTTCGTAAATATGCTACTCGCATCTGTCGATCGCAATGTTCACACGTGGCGCTCGTTCCTTAGACAAATTAATGGTCCCTTTGATTAAAAAGTTCCCGGACAACATCCCGTTAACACCATCCAGAAGCACATTCATCTTGCGACGAAAGGGACGACACGCACATTACGAGCGACGAATGCCGCGTACGTTTTAATATGAAACGCGTGAAATATTTTTGTGTTTTCGATAAATCATTTTGTTTAATATTAGTTATTCCCATAAGTTCGTGCCGCTTAGTTTTCTATCGTATATGTAAGATAATATTTCATCAAGCATAACATTTTTATAGCTTCGCGATCTGTCGCCCGCGAATATCTTCTACTGACTAAACTGAAGCAGTTCAGATTAGTATAGCTTTGCGATTACGAAACGTAACGCGTGAAATATTAACACACCGCAGCACGAACTTATGGGGTAACTTAATACCTTCGGCATGGACGTAAGTCCATGGAGACGTGGGAAAAGTTAATAAAACATGTCCGTGGACCCGTTACTTCGATTGAAACTGTCAAAACAGGGGCACGGTACACGGTTTGGCACCATGAATAATTAAAGGGGATGTTTAATGCATTATTTTGACACACTAATTATACATTTGACGTGCTTGTGCGTGTGTACGCGGTACCGCGGCGCGTTTGCATAATATCGGCCAACTAGCATGATCGCGATGCCAGTCATGAAGATAATTTCAATCATTCGAGCGGCAGTCGCGGGATTAAGCGATCATCCCCCATCAGCCAGTAGTCAAACTTGACTGACTGAACGGCCACTCCATATCATATTTCATATCGATACTTAGACACTGTCCCTCCCCGCGTAATCCTCCGTCAGCTGTCGTGGCTCGACGTCTACGGCGGGATTACGTTGGCAATAATGGCTTCTGACCGTTGTGAAATCAATAATAGTCAGCGAAGGCTGTAGTTACTGTTTCGTCCAGTGTCCTGGCCGGCGTAACGGTATATCAATCTTTCTTTGTATGGTTCGTTCGAGGGGATAGCGAACCTCTTTTCATTGTCAGTGAAAGATGTAAGGTGCTATTGTCGGTCTTGGAATTAGCTATCCTTTTATGTGATTTTACTTGATGCTCCTTTGTCCGAGGGAAGAGAATTATTATGAACATACATATGTTTGCGTTGTGTCAGGCTGAAATGTTCTCTGGAGATTTTGAGAAAGTCTTTTTATTTATCTCTTTTTCAGAATATGTGTCTATAATTGTGTTCGAGATTTTGTTCAAATTTTTGTGTGGCAACGAAGAAATATCAGTGACTAAAACGCCACGAAGAATAGGTGAAATTAAATCGACTTCGGAGGATCCGTTCCAAGCGACAACAAACCATAAATTGAACTGTGTCTATAAATAATTTCACCCTGTGTATGCAAAAAATTTGCAGAAAATTTCACGCGAAACTTCTTGAGATCTGCATACGATGCAAATTTCATTGCAGGCTGAAACTCGGTTCATTCCCAATCGTATAATTTCATTTTCAGAGACCTAGTTCGGAGCAAATACGTGAAGGCTTTGAATATTATCATGGTGTTACAGTTTTCATCCGCGAGACTGTATCTTCACGCTTGGCCTCGACCGGACGGACACCTTTCGACGGGGGTATCCCGATGCAATTTCACGACCTTCCACCGGCAGCCATCAACCCGACCTTCGACCGGGCGAGCTTCTTATGTGTACTTAACATGCATAGGATTTTTCCCCGATGAGCACTGATATTCAGCCGAAGACGAGAAGAGGGTGGAAGGGACCGCGGCTCTTTCCAGGAAGGGCCGAGATACGGCGGTTTGGCCCGTTAGCGTCGGCTAATTTTCATGGAGATTCGAGGCGCGCCGAATCAAAGTCGCGGAGGGCGAAATCAGTCTCAATTTGCTGAGAACGGAACGCGAGCGAGCAAGGTAACTGACCTGCTAATGGGAAGACTCGTACTCCATCGTGATAGCGCGGTTCAGCAGGCTCGGGTCTAAATGCCGGCAGCGTTACACGGTGGTTCTCGGATAAACACAGATTTTCGTGTATCCGAAACTGTTCTCGCAACGGAGCTTCTTATTAGATCGCGAAGCGAAGATTCGGATAGTTGACGAAACATTCGACTCGCTGTTCGACGAACCACCTGTGAGAGAATTCTGTTGGACAGGATAATTGATTATTCCTGTTGACTCCCTGTGATAAGAATTGCTTGATCGATTGCTTTTGCAGACAGTCCTTGTAATGGCATCTAACTTTTTTGTATGGGCGAATATTCAAAGGAAATGGTACAATTGTAATGAATATTAAAATTATGCGAGGAAGTATTGGATTTTTTAGCATGAACGTTGCTGCTTGAATTTTTAATATTCAATAATTGAAAAACTGAGTTGCATACTTC